CCTGTCAGACTTGTGTCCCCCACCCACCCTACCCTCCCAGTCCCTGCCCACACCCAACCCTCCCCGTCCCCGTCCCCACCCAGATGGTCTTAGGGATGGAACCCAGGGTCTTTTGTGTACTCTGCAGATTGTCTTCAGTCTAGTCCTAAAAGGGTTTGTTTTATTTTATACATGCTTGTTCACACCAAAGACTTTAATTTATTGACGAGTTCACTAATTGATGATTTTTCCACCTCTGTAAAATAAGGGACAGTTCTTCAAACCTATGTATTGGCGTCTGAATGAATACTACTTCTCATTCAGCTACTGTTCCTTGAAATTGCTGTGTAGCTGAGAATGACCTTGAACCTGAGTCTCCTGCCTCTACCTCCTGAGTGCCCAACCACACCCAGTTTATACAATGCTGGGGATCAAACCCAGGGCCTAGTTCACGCTAGTTAAGCACCCATCCAACTGTGCCACATCCCCAGCCCTTCTTAAAGGAAGCCCAGCACACGTGCTAACCACCAAAGAACCTAGCTTGGGAAACTGGGTTCCTCATGCAGTCAAGTGTGTCAGTTCTAGAGTAAACTTTCTTGGAATAGTTTTTAATCTCTGCGGAGATGACAGGAGCCTGGCTTTGTACGGCATAAGTCACAGTCGCTGGAGCTCAGGGTCCAAAATTGCTGTTCCCTGCTAAATTTAAGGTTCTCCAGAGGAACTTTTGCCCAGCCTTACCCGAGGCAGAGGCCTCCCTGCGTTTCCTATGGTTCCAGATGCCAGCAGTTCCATCTGCCCTAGTGGGAGCTCACCAGGCACCTTGTCTGATGGCCCTAAGCCCTGCTCCCTCCCCTAAGTGGAACAGGGAAGGGGATGGGCCACTGTTGAAGACACACTCCCTTTTAGTGTAATTCAGGTGCTATAGATTATTGGGTGATGTTTGTCTACATGTGGGCACACTGTATTCATGCAGTGCCCATAGAGGCAGAAGACAGTGTCAGATCCTCTGAAGCTGGAGTTACCCACAGTTGTGAACCATCTCGTGGATGCTGGGAACTGAACCCAGGTCCTCTTCAAGAGCAACAATTGCTCTTAACCGACAAGCCGTTTCTTAAGTCTCTCTTTGAATGTCAGACTATTTCCTGATTCATTATTTTAAAAGAAGATAGGACATAGGTATATTTATCCTTTAAACAAATAGAATTGTTCTGTTTCTATTCTAGTAACTATTTAGAGTAAATCACTAACATCTTTTTGGTAGATCTTTTGGTTTGTTTGTGGTTTTTTGAGGCAGTTTCATGTAGCCCAGGCTGGCCCTGAGCTCTGTGTATGTGCACATGATCTTGGATTCCTGCTCCCCCATGTCTCTAGCTCAAAGGGGCTAGGATTCCAGGCTTAGGCCAGCTTACATGGCTCTTTCTATGGAAATCTCTTTCCTACATGTTCATGCACTTAAGTTTAGTCTGCTGTGGAACAAACGGTTCTGATATTTAGTGCTAATGAAGAGGTCAGCAATTGTGTTTGTGGGTCCAGGGAAGTTATTTCAGTGAGACTCCAGCAAACTACTCCTGGCAAGTTCCCAAGGCAGCAAGCAACCCCCACCTCCGAAGAAGTGTAAGTAGCCTGCATTTCCATAAAATTAGAAATGTCTGAGTAAGGCTGTTACTCAAAATCTAGCTGCACTTTGTTGTCTTCTTGGGTCTGATCTAAATTTTGTAACCATTGGGACCTTTCAGCTTTTAAATCCCATTGCTTCTTAGTAAATGTAATTTTGTCTTGTTTATTTTATAATTAGATTTATTCATTTGTGTGTGACTGCATGTGCCACAGTACACGTGTTGAGGTCAGAGAACAGCTTCCAGAAATTGATTTTCTCTACTGTATGTGCCCTGGTGATCAAACTCAGGTCTTCAGGCTTGGTTCAGGTGCTCTTACATACTGAGCCATCTTGCTGGCCCTGTTTATTTCTTTTTGATGCAGGCTCTCAGTATGTCTCTAACTCTAGTCCTCTCCACACCCAGTGACTGATGGCTCTCCTCAGAGGCCTTCTCCTGGGCTGCTCAGATGTTTTACCCCTTTCTTCCTCGTGGGACAATGGATCTGGTGCTTAGAACCAGGGAAGTGTTTGCTCTGAGGCTGACCCAGAGCTCTGACTTGAGTGTTCTGTGTGCTGCCACTGTAGCACATATCCCTGTGCTTGCTGATGTCGCCTCGTTTTTCCAGGTTGAAATCAAGGAAGCAGGTAGCAATGTGCCAGGCAGCAACCCCGAAGATGCGGCTTTCCAGACCCCTCTGACTCAGGAATCCTGCTGCAAGTTTCCATCGTCCCAGGAGGCAGAGGAAGCTTCCAGCTGCCCTCGGAAGAAAGACTCCAGTCCCATGGTAAGATCCCTGTGGGCCCTGTCACTGACTTGCTAAGTCAGTGCTCTTTGTCCATCTACAATGGGAGAGAGTCAACTTGAGACCTCCATCTTTCACCTTTCATCCCCAAGATTCTCATCTCTGCCCCACCTCAGAAAATCAAGTAACGATTGGGACACTGCTGTGCCCCATAGGGGAGTCACCAAAAGTCACACTGTCCATGTAAAGTACAGAGTTAGGAAATGAGGTAGGGATAGTCTAGGGACAGCCTAAGCTTGCAGGATTGGTTGGCCCAAGTCTGTGCTTCTACAGCCTTCCTGCCTGCCTCCAGGTTGCCAGTGACAATAGTGTGCAGGGTGTGGAAACTGTGTGATGTCATTTCCTTCTGCAGCTCTGCAGGCAGCCCCTTCTGTGCCTGTCTTAGCCCTAGGTATTGTGCGTTGTACTACTGGAACTGCTCAGGACACGTGACGGAATCACCAGTGCTTCAGCTGAGCTTGGGCTACACAAGTAGTGCACCCTCAGAGCCTTCAGCAGCTCCAGATGAGGCCTGGTCGAAGACACAGAGTGTGTCCCAGAAATACTTGAAATAATGTCCCCTTGTGAAGTCTGTCTTTGGGATGCAAACACTAGTACCTGTATGTGTCTGAGACTTACTTGAAACCCCATGTTCTGATGGCAGAGCTTTTCCATGACCTTAGAGAAACCATAGGACAAAGGACTCCCTCTACATTGTAGGGTGACACCTGCAGTGAACCCAGGACTGGTCATCACTGTGGACCATTACCAACTGAGTGCGTGCTGGTATGTGGCTACATTTCCCTCTGAATACAGCTGTGCAGGGTGCTGGCCTCTCCACTGTTAGGATGACATGAGTGTTTTCCCTGGAACCTGCTTTTCCTCTCCTAGCAGGTTCATGGGCATTAATCAGATGACCTCGGTCCTTTGTGCCTGTTTGCGTACTCCTGTTCTGGTGTCCATACTGCACACCCTAGAGCAGCTGGGCATGTAGGGTGCTCCATCCCCCAGCAGCTGGATTGGTGGCTTTGATGTGCAGATATACCTGGCTGGCTGAAGACTAGCAGTCAGAACGACATGGAGTCAGACAGCTCTCTCATGAGTTCAGCAAGCTCTCTCAGGAGTTTCCAGTCACTGACTCCACCTTTCTTAGCTGTACCTATAGGAAATAAAGTCAATGGGCATAAAAACCACCTGTTAGATAACAGCCTGGCTCTGTAGCAGGAGGGAACACCCAGCAAATTAGAGCTAATTCTACAGATGTACTCAGCCCCCAAGGGTCTCAGAGGTGGGAAACTGGGATCTGGGAGAAAGCTCAATCCCTGTTCATAAAGGCTGTGAATTGAAGGTCATCAGAAAGGAAACCCTCTCCTCAGGCACATGGTCCTCCAGAGGATACAGGAGCAACCTGTGAGTGTGTAGACATGTCACAGGAATACATGGGGTGGGGCTAGAGAGCAGCAGTTAGTGTAGAGGAAGACATAGAGAACACACCACCTTCTCTCCCACCACACACACATACTTAGACCTGCCAAGGGCGAGTCTTCTCAGATTTCCTCTGTTCCTGCTCCAAACTGGAGTCACTTAACCGTCTTCACCATGTGGTTCTAGGTGATCTGTCAGCTGAAAGGAGGTGCCCAGATGCTCTGCATAGACAACTGTGGCGCCAGGGAGCTCAAGGCACTCCATCTGCTTCCTCAGTATGACGACCAGAACAATTTCCCACAGTCAGGTACCACAGCACAAAGGCTGCCCTGGCTCACCCTGGAGGTGGTGAAGAATGGGGTAGTGAATGAGTGTTAGTCTTTGTGTCTAAGAATGTGAGGAGGCCTAGGAGGAGGCTGTCCCTAGCTCGCCTGCCAATCCAGGCTGCTCACCAAGAGTCCAGTGGACCAGCGAGAGACCCTGCCTCAGAAAAAGACAAACTGGTGGATAGCTACTGAAGAACAGCATGAGGCTGTCCTCCAGCCTCCACAGGCCAGTGCACACACAAACACCACAGCCCCACACAGACACGCGCGAGCACACACACACACTGACAGTAAAACAGACCATTCATGTATTAAATGAGTGCTTGAACAAACCCAGACAATATCAGTCAGAGAACAGAACAAAATCGATCACTATAGCCTAATCTGTCTAGAACACATTAAATGTCTCTCGGTCTTATCTGGCTCCTCCACTGTCTTGCCTTCTAGCAAGTGACAGCTCTCATCAGGACAGTTCTGTTTCATTCCTCCAGTCAGGGCAGAGGTGGCTCACCTGAAACATTATCAGCCTACCCAATGGCTCGAGGCTGGGCCACTCATATGTGCTCTAAATTACGGGTGTTTTAGTGGAAACAGTCTGTGTGATCAGTAAGGGCAATTGATCCTTTCCTCTGCTTTCATCATCAGGTGTGCCAAGCTGACTCTCCGGTGATCTGATAGTCACCCAGCCAATTCCTCACACTGACTCCAGAATTAACAAATGACCCCCAAAGGACTGATCCACACACTTTAAAGCCGATGAATGGCTAGAGAAAAATTAAATGATGTGGTCTTGGGCCTGTGTGTAACCAAGCTTTGCCTTGGCCTTGGCAGTGAACTTCTCTGGGTAAACTCAGGGACTCAAGCTGCTGTGACAGAAGGTAACCTTCCAGCAGTGTCAAGTCAACCAATCTCTGGAGCCCAGGGCAAGAGAAGTCTAACACTGTCTCCATACTCCCTCCTTGATCCAAAATGGATTCAATCACTAGGTTTCCATTGAAAGTGTAAAATGTCTCAAGGTATCCAGTGAATCTACTGTGTCATGTAAGGACATCTTGGCACATGTTTTTGGAAACTGGGTGCTAACATCTTTTCAGTATAGTAGACCTCTGCAATGCTCAGGCTAAACAGGTTTATGATTTTAAAAAAATGGCAAAAAAATAAGTTTTAAAATTACAATAACACAAAAGCATCTATTGAAAAAAAAAGTCACAAAACCCAGGAATAGTGACATACATGTGTGACCCAGCCCTGGAAGGTAGAGACAGGAGGACCAAGAGCTCAGGGATTACATGTGTGGTGAGTTGAGTCTGGGCTTTATGAGACCCTGTCTAAAAGCAAGGGGCAGGAGAGACAGCTTTGCAGTCGAGAGCACTTGCTGCTCATCTGGAGACCCCAGTTCACACCCACTTCACATGGCTCACATACTGCCTATAACCCTGCACTCAGGGAGCTGACACCCTCTTCAGGCCTCTGTAGACATCTGTACACATGGCTTACACACACACACACACACACACACACACACACATGCATAAATAAATTAAAAACAAAAGGACTAAGATCAGGATAAGCCTTGCCCGTTCATGGTAGACCCACACCTTTCAATGCTTGCTGCCATTTCATGTCAATTTTTTTCCCCACAGATCTCCCTAAGCCAATGACAACTTTAGTGGGAAGACTTCTGCCAGTACCAGCAAAGTTAAATCTCATCACACAGGTGAGTCATTTAGGACAAAACACACTCAATGCCATCTCCTGGCATTTTCCTGGCTGCACTTATTTACTTCAGGTTATACAGTTTACAGTGAGAGCCAGCACTCATGGCACATGCCTATAATCTCAGCAGTTGGGAAGTGGAGATGGGAGGATCAGGAGTTCAAGGTTATCCTCATCTAAATAGCAAGTTCTAGACCAGCCAGGGTCACACAGAACCTTGTCTTAAGAAAAACATCAAAATCCAGTGCCATTGTCCTTTAATAAATAAATAAATAAAACATCAAAATCAATAATAAAATAGTTACTATGTATTTGTCCCTTCATACCTGTGTCAGACACTAGATGGAAGATCAGCAATAGGGACATGAGGGACAACAAGGGCAATAGCCGGTCACAGCACTAGCCAGGAGTCCCCTATGCTCCCATGGCTGGCCCTCCACCTGAACAAACGCAAGCTCAGAGTTGTGCTAGCAAAGTGTGGGGAGGGAATAGAGGATGCCTATCTGAGTGTTCGCAGCTGGGGATGTTTGTGGTCAGGTAGGAAAGGTGTGGGTATGGGGATGGAGTCCAGCTACAAAGTCTAAAAGATAAACAATATTTGCCAGTGAGATTTAAGATATCCAGGTCTCTCTGTTGTTCTGAGAATATAGTACTTTTGGAATGCTTCTAGTCTGGGGACATTTGTAACTGATTTTATTTCCAACTACTTGTTTGTGAACACAAAGTGTTCCAATGACAGTGTCACCAGCCTCCAAGTGACAACTGTATGCACTGCTCCCTAGCTTGTCTTTGCTGGCCCTAGGCCCCACCCCACCCTGACTGTTCTCATCATCCCCATGATCAGACACTTTGTAGCCTGGGGTCCTGGGCCTGGGTCTGGGAATAGCTGTGAGATGGTCTCAGCCTATGGGCTCAATGTCAGTGGACTTGCTGAGCTTATGAGACCTAGATATGGGATTGTGATATCCATCTGTAGGGGCTGCTGCTGACACTTCACACATACAAGAATGCTGACCATTCTTGCTTTTGCCTCTGTCCAGGTTGATAATGGAGCTCTCCCACCGACTGTCAATGGAACTGCCTTCCCCTCAGGACCCACTATGCAAGGCCCACCCAAAATAGCTCTGGCTGGGTAAGGATTAAAATTGGAAGCCACTACCTTTAATGCAAGCATCCAGGATGCTGTTGTATAAGATGCACTTCCTGCTGCATTCTAGAATTTGTTTTGCTGAAAGATCAGTGGTCATCTCCCCTTCCCAGCAGGGTCACTGATCACCTGTGGGTACATCAGTGATGACTCCTGGCCTCCCCTCCACTGTCTGCTCTCCTGTGCATGTTTCATGGTCCCTGGCTGTTGTAGCTCTGTCATGGTTTTTCCTGCACTTAGGTAGTGCCACGCTGTTTCTTGTAGTCTATCATTGGTACTGTTCACACACGGGCAGCTGCTTATGTGGATCATCTTTGCCCCCATCATTTCACAGAACAAAAAGGGGCCTCTCACTGGGAGGAGAGCCTCTTCCTCTTTGGGGCACACTCTAAAATGGGAGTTGGTTTGTACAATGAGTGTAATGGTTTGCGAGGCAGGTTTTGTTTTGTTTTAGGACGTTTGTTTGTTTTGAGACAGGGTCTCTCTGTAGTTCTGGCTACCCTGGAACTCACTATGTAGATTATGCTGGACTGGAACTCATAGATCTACCTGCCTCTGCCTCCAAGTGCTGGGAGTGACAGCCCTGGTCTCATGCAGCTCAAACGGACCTAAAACCTGCTATGAAGCAAAGATTGGCCTTGAATTCCTGATCTTTCTGCCTCCCTTTCCTGAGAGTCGGGATGAAGTCTGTACTCCTTCTTTCACATGTTAGGGCACAGGGCTTTTGAAGAGTGGAGTTACAGTGCTGACTTGTGAGGCACCAGCTTGTCTGAGTCACTTGCTTTCTTGAGTTTCTGCTCACCTAGTCACCTTATGCTCTGTGGCTGCTTTTTCCTGTGGATTTCATCAGTGGGGAGTTTAGGTGAAGAAATTCTGGGGAGTTTAGGTGGGAATGAACTTCCCCCAAAGTATGGCTTCAATTCTCCCTGAAGCTGTGGCTCCCAAATTGGACTCTCCAGTTCTAGGGTCTGCTGCCTATGGAGAGAACATGGAACAGGACATCCCAGGCATGTCCTTGAGCACTATTTTACCTTTCCATAAGCACCAGGGCAGGATGACCCAGAAAACATTGCCATCAGCCACTCTGGAACAGCGTAGATCTAGAGGTGGCTGCTGTCATGCACCAGAAGTGGCAGGTACTTCACTGACAAAAGGGGAACACCATATTCAAGTGGTGGCTGTCCATGAGGTTTCCCAGACAACAATCGTAGCAGACTGATGGCTGATGGTGCCAGTACCTTGTACAAGAATCCCTAGATGACTGGGGTGTAGGAGCCTGAGATCAGGGAGAGTGCCATGCCCAGTTTCTCTTTGCTGTTACTTATGTTGCTATGCCAACTTGACTTGACAGGTCAGGGCTGTTGGCAAAGGGGAGCAGTGTTGCCGAAAAGGAGAGGCCACACTCTGGGAAGAAGGTGTGACAACTTGGTGTTCCCCCTCACTGCTGTCCCAGGGAGAGTGGAAGAGAGCAGAGGGCAGGGAGTGAGATGATGGATGGATGGCGTGTCTTCCAGGAAATGGTGCTGATTTGCCAGGTCCTGGGTTATAATCAATGGCTTTACTAGTTTCTTTCTTCTGTGTTAGTATGACATCACACCCCACCTCTAATTCTGATTTTCTTATGAAAAGTCCAAAGGAAGCCCCTAAACTGAGTCACCTATCCTTGTATGCAAGTTCTTATCTCAGGTTGCCTGTGCCTTTCCCTCACAGATACTGTGACTGCTTTGCCAGCGGGGACTTCTGCAACAGCTGCAGCTGCAACAACCTACGCCATGAGCTCGAGCGCTTCAAAGCCATTAAGGTAATGTACTTGACAGAGCTTTACCAGTGTTGTCAGTGAAGGGTCTCCAGAGTCCGATTCAGACAGATGCATAGACAAATGCAGTGACCCCGGGCGAGATATACTGATACCCAGCAACTGGGGACACTTTAGGACTGCAGCAGAGTTTTGGATGCTCTGACTCATGAGCAGAGTCTATCTTGGCTTGGGGATCATAATTCTGGGTAGCTCCATGCAAGGAGGTACAGTGTATTATCACCTGTGGGTGGGAAGCATTTGGTTGAGCCTCATAGACTTTAAACTTTCTGTACTGGTATTATTTGTGTTTTAAGAAATAAAGCTTGCCTGAAGATTAGAGGACAAAGCAGCCACACTAGTCAACCATATAGACCAGGCAGTGGTGACGCACCCTTAATCCCAGGACTTGGGAGACAGAGGCAGAGGGATCTCTGTTAGTTCAAGGCCATCCTGGGATACACAAGATTGAATCTGTCTGAAAGAGAAACAGCTCTCTTGGGATCACATGCTTTTAATCCCAACACTAAGGAGGTGGAGACAGGAGCTATATGGCTGGGCAGAGCGAGGGATATAAAGGGGAAGAGAAAGGAATTCAGTAGAGTATGGAGTCTGAGATTGGTGGAGAGCTTTGCAGGATTGCCCCATTTGTTTGTCTGAGACTTGGTAGCAGTAAGATCTCTCTAGGACTTGGCTGCTTTACTTTTCTGATCTTCAGGTTGAACCCCAATATCCATCTCTGGGTTTTTATTAATCATTCTACAATTTTCATCCCTCTAGATTCAGGTGCAAAAAGATCGAGACTTTCTCAAGGGGCAGTGAATTTGCTAGCAGACCGCAGGATCCTGCAGCATATATGCCTTCCTGTGCACACAAAGACCAGGGAATGGGAGGGATAGCTAGGCTGGGTCTGGCATCTTCTCCAGGGAGACACTTCCAGGGGTCAGGAGCCATCAGCTGAGGCCTGAGGGTATCCTGTTCAAGGGAACAAAATTGAGCCTTGGTCAGCCTGTCTGGTTTGGTTTCCCTAGAACAATAATCCCCCTCTTGAGTAGCAGATATATCACTTAGAGCTATCATAGCAATTCCGATATGGTCAGACTTAGAGGACAAAAGAAAATGACCACACCCCGAGCTTTAGGGCACCAACTGTTGCTTTTTATTTAGCAGGGAGTGTACTCTGCTATTTTGAGATCAGGGCTCGCATGTGCCAGGGATAGGAGCATGGCTTATACAGCTAGCTGCTTGAGAAATGATCAGCAGACACTCTGACGGCTACATGTTTGCTTAGATGTCACCCAGCTTACTCCTCCCTAGCTCCCAGCTGATAGAAATTAGAGGAAATCCTCACAGAGATTTGCCAAGCAAGTTCTTAGCAGCTTCATTCATAACAGACAAAAGCTGCCCCCAAGCCCTCAGCCCATCAGTGGTGGGATAGAGCAACTGCCAGCTGTTTGAACAGAATGTCACTCACCACAGGGAAAGACCAATGGTTCCCTCCACTGGAAGGAGTCATGTTGGCCTCACCCTTGTTCTGAGCCATGTACACACCACCTATCTGACACCCCTTAAGCTCCCAAGTTTGTCAACAGAGTGAAATGAGAGACAACGTTCATTACAGAGAAAGACGGCTAGGTGTTGGTGTGAGCTGTTCTATGCCATGACCTCACCTGCCTCAAAGATGCGAGGCATGCTGGAAAAGTGTCTTTAGCATGTATTATTCTTACAGTACATAGGCCTGGCTCTCAATGCAGAGAAAGGGTTCAGTGCTTCTAGAGCCCTGCAGCACCTCAGTTCTGTGTGTGGCATGGCTGCACAGAAGCCTTGAGACCTCTGGTGTGCCTTGAGGACGCAGCTCCCTCAGTGGCTTCCCCGGTGTGACCTTCCCTTTCATGGAGCCTTGCTTCTGGTTCCCACACATTTCCTGATGGTTCCCATGTTCTCTCTTAGGCATGTCTTGATAGAAATCCCGAAGCTTTCCAACCAAAAATGGGGAAAGGCCGGCTGGGCGTGTCTAAGCTGCGGCACAGCAAAGGGTGCAGCTGTAAGCGCTCAGGCTGCCTGAAGAACTACTGCGAGTGCTATGAGGCGAGTGGGCTTCCTGTCCTTCCTTCCCGAGTGCTGTCAGCTTGACGGGGTCTAGAGCCACCTGGGAAACAGGCCTCTGGCCATACATGTGGGGATTATTTTGAGGTGGGAAGAAAGACCTGGCCATTGTGGATGGCACCACTCCCTGGCTGGAGTCCTGGACTGTGTAAGTGGAGAGAGGGAGCTGAGCAGCAGCAGCAGCAGCATCCATCACTCTCTGCTTCCTGATTGTGGATCCCATGTAAACAGCTGCTTCAGGCTCCTGTGGTCTTACTCCCTCCCCCTGCTGGACGGTACCCAGGAACTGTGTGCTGAAGAAAGCCCTTCCTCCTTCCAGTTGCTTTTGTTCAGGGTTTTTTTTTTTTTTATCACAGCAACAGGAAACAAAACTATGACACAAGTCTGTTTTTATAGTCAGGTCTCGTAGTTCAGGCTGGCCTGAAACACAGTCTCTAGCCAAGGATGGTGACCTTGAATGTGTGATCCCATGGCCTCTACCTCTAGAGCACTTGCATTATGGCCATTCCTTAATGCTGTCATGTCTGCTTCCCTCGCTGGTGAATAGCCTCTAGTGTTAATCTGAACTAATCTGATTAAGCAGATGGGCAAAGGTAGATGTGAGTACTGGGTGGTTTGCGGGAATGGGGGACCCTGATTTCAACAAAGCACTTTCTATCATCAGGCCAAAATCATGTGTTCTTCGATTTGCAAATGCATTGCTTGCAAAAACTATGAAGAAAGCCCAGAGCGAAAACTGCTGATGAACACACCCCACTATATGGAGGCTGGGGACTTTGAAAGCAACCACCATCTGTCCCCAGCCAAGTTCTCAGGACCTCTAAAACTGAGAAAAAATAGGTAGGTGCTCTGAACATTAGACTGGAAGTTCTGAGGGAGGCTTAGAAACCACATCTGCATTGGCTGGAGCACACAGTGCGTGCATAGGCAAACACTGGGCTTCCTTCTCAGCTTGTCTTTTCTTTCCCTTTGCCCTGTCTGTGTATTCCTGTTTATAATTACATGCTCTGCCTAGGCTGTTCACAGGACTAGTGGTATTCTGATGTCTCTGAATGAGGTTAGATTCTTGCTCAATCTACCAACAAATGCTGGGTCCTACCTCTCCCTTCCATCTTCCCTTCCTCTTTTCTTTCCTTGTCTCTGTCCATTTTCCAGGCTAAGGATAGAACCTAGGACCCAGGACTTTCTTCCTGAGCTGTGCCAAGTTCACACCTGACCTTTTACTGTGGGCAGCAGTACAGATGTGTTTTGGACACATGCTGAACTCTTAGCAGTAGGGACTGTGGTTGGATGTCTTCCCTTGGGTAGTTCTGAAGCCACACTAATCTTAGTCTCCCAAGGGCTGAGACATCATTTGATCATATATTAGACTGGATTTTCATATTTAAAAATATTATTTCCAGGGGTAGGAAAGGGTCACTCTATAGGTAAAAACCTGATATGAGGACCTAAGTTCAAATCCTAGCTCCCATATAAAAAAATCAGGCTTGATGGCCTATGCTGGTAATTCCAGTACTCGGGGGTGAAGACAGGGTTCCTGTGGCTCATTGACTAGCGAGGCAAGCCAATCACTGAGAGACTCTATCCTTGAAAATCAGGTGGATCTTCTGGGGAGACCGTGCAATAGTAAAGTCTTGCTGTGTAAACTGAGAGTGAAGTCTGGGTGGTTGTGGCAGGTGCCTGTAATCCCAATGCATGGGAGGCAAAAACAAAGGATCCATGACTCAATAATATATATTTGCCTCAAAATATAAAGTGGAAGAGTGATCAAGAAAGACACACAGTGTCAACCTCTGGCCTCCACACATGCATGCAATTACACCCATCCATACACATGCACCATACACTACACATGTACACACATGCATGCACACCCCAAAACCTAAGCAACCAAAGAAAGAGCATTCCTTTAAGTGCTGTGCAAGTGGTCATCCACGTATCACAAATGAGTCAGCTCCATTCTGCAAAGCCAAACTCAGGCTTATTTGGTTAAAGATGTAAGACACACTCTCACCAAGCCTACATCCTCTGTGATGCTCTCTGCATCATGAGACCAGCCTCCTCTGAGGTTGCTTGAGGGTGTCAGTGTTAGCCCTGCTCATAGGTGGCTGGGTAAGTCTCCCTGCTCTAGAGCTCAAAGAGGAAATGGTCATCCCTAAACAGCCAGCGCAGACCAGGCCGGGACTCTTCAGGGTGTCCAGGGTGAGGTAAACTCATGGTATGACCACAGATGTGACAGGGGAGTCTCAGAATCACACAGCACTTTGCAGCTCGAGATGCTCTGCAGACCCCCAGCCTGGCTGTCACACTGAGAGCTCTCCTCTCCTGACTAATGCCAGGGACTGAGGACATCTGTACACTGTCTGGAAGTCCTACATCGCCAAGCCCTGTGTGACCTGTGACTTTGCCACTGAAGCACATGAGCCTCTAGGTCTGTCAGTGGCCTTCACACTGAGGCATTTATACTCTGCCAGGGTCTAAGTGATCCAGGGTCCCTATGCTGCTCTCCCAAGCCCGACCCTCACACTTTCTTATTTAGTTATTTGCTTTTGGTGTGTTAAAACATCTCTCCCTCTAGCCCAAGTGGGGACACAGGCCTGGGCCAGTGGGCTCAGCACAAACAGAGCCCCTTTTATTAGCAGAAAAGCACATGGCACCTTTTTAAAAGTTGTCTTTTGGCAATTGTGTGTTTGTATGGAATGCATTGTAATCATAGTCTTCCTTTGGCTCTCTTTTCCCCACCCCATCCTTGTGACCCTCTTCTTCTGAACTAGTCCTCCTCCTCTCACTTCTGTTTTTTTTTATTTTTAAAGATTTATTTATTTATTATGTATACAACATTCTGCCTCCATGTATGCCTGCATGCCAGAGGAGGGCGCCAGATCCTATTACAGGTGGTTGTGAGCCACCATGTGGTTGCTGGGAATTGAACTCAGGACCCCTTGAAGAGCAGCCAGTACTCTTAATCACTGAGTCATCTCTCCAGCCCCCTCACTTCTGTTTTTGATTGTGTGTGTGTGTGTGTGTGTGTGTGTGTGTGTGTGAGAGAGAGAGAGAGAGAGAGAGAGAGAGAGAGAGACAGAGATTCACTTGTTGTTTGTTTAATTAGGGCTTCTCACCTGTGTGGAGGGTGTAGCTATTTACTGGGGTATGGACCATTTACTACTGACTACATCCCTGAAGAAAATGTCCCTTTTCCCCAGCAGCTATTAACTGCCAGTCCCTCCTCAGAGAGGTCTGGGGCCTCATGAGCCCATCCCCTATCCATGCTGGGATATTGAAAGACAGTACTATGCAGCGTCTTCTGAGATGTTTCCTGGGCCTTGAAGGGGAGGTGATGTGGGTGTCCCCTCTAGAGACCATTGATCATTGAACTAGAGTGATCGGGCACTGCCAGACTGGATGGCAAAGATGCTGAGTGACTGTGTCTCTCCTCAGGCAGAGCTTCTCCTGTATCTCCTGGGAAGTAGTGGAGGCCACATGTGCCTGCCTGCTGGCCCAGGGTGAGGAGGCAGAGCAAGAGCGCTGCTCTCCAAGCTTGGCTGAGCAGATGGTCCTGGAGGAGTTCGGAAGATGCCTGTCACAGATTCTCCACATCGAGTTCAAGTCCAAGGGGCTGAAAATTGAGTAGAGTGCAAGCTGGTAAAGGGAATGCCTGTGGCAAGCCTCAGCTTTGGGGAGTTTGCACCTAGGAAGGTGGTACCACGGGAGGGGCATGAGGTCCCTGCAACATGGCCAGGCCAGTCAACCATGAGGTCTGAGCCATCCCACTGTGTTGGATCAGCCAGCCTGCTCCAGCCACCCTGAAGTACAGGCAGGCAGAATTGTCCTGGGAGCTGGACACAGGCCCTCCTGTCCCCAAGGAGCCCCTCTGGGGACCCCCTGCCCTGCATAAGAAAAGAGTGGCTTTCTGATTGTTGTTATATGTTCGCTTTTCAAATCGCTTAGTAGTTTTCCCATTCGAGTTGTTATGAGCCTTTATGGAGGCTTTAAGTGTCCAAAGATCAAGGCTCTGCAGGTACCCCAAGTCACAGGTCAGGTGACCAGCAGTGGTCTTCCAGGCCAGGCCTGTGACAGCGAGTGTGGTAAGGGGGTCAGGTGGGAGCTAATTTTTCTGAATTTCTGCTTGAATTGAGAAAGCTGTCTCCTGTCCAACCCTCATCCCAACCCTCATCTCCACAATTACTGTTACATTGTGGCCAGCAAAACAGTTGCAGTGACCAGCTTGCAGACACCAGCAGGTGAAGCGGGCGATTGTGCCCATGCTTCGCGTTCTGTTGTGAGAGTGAACCTTTCCAGATTCCCAGTTGGACCTAGGTTAGTAGTTGAAAATAAAAAAAAAATTGTCTCAATAGCCACTCTAGACTCCTCTGAGACCTTGTCTCTTCATGAGTCTGCGTTCCCTAACAGCACTGCTGCTTCATCACTTTGAGGCTTAAACCTGGGCATAGCTGGGTGGTGGTGGCACACACCTTTAATCTCAGCACTCAGGGAGGCAGAGGCAGGTGGATCTCTGTGAGTTCGAGGCCAGCCTGGTCTACAGAACTAGTTCTAGAACAGCCAGAGATACACAGAGAAACCTTGTCTCAAAAAACAAAACAAAAAAAGAAAGAAATGAAAAGAAGCACCTGGGTACAGACCAGACAGTGGTGCAGTGGTGGAGGTGGTCTGGGGAGCCCGGAGTTCACTGACGAGAGGGAACTGACTGGAGAAGGCTCCACCAGTAAAGTACTTGCTGTGCAAGCTGGAGGACTTGAGTTCAATTCCCAGAACCCGTGTTTAAAAACAAACATCCCCCCCCCCCCCCCCCCCCTTGCAGCAGCAACCACATAAAAAACGAACAAACAAAAGATACAGGCTTGTAATCCCAGCACTGGGGAAGTAGAGACAGGAGTCTCCCTGGGACTCACTGGTCAGCCAGCATAGCTTAATTGACAAATTCCAGGCAGAAGAGACCCTGGCTAAAAAGGCAGCTCCTGAGCTAAAAAGATGCCCATACACATGTGCCCTTGCACAGACATGCATGCACAAACACACCATGGGGAAAAGGTCTAGAAGTCAGAAGAGGATACGGAGAAGGGGAGTAGGGGTTAGACAGCTGTGCACTGCTGACCCAGAGTCCAGGCTGTCATGGGAATGGCTTTAGGAACCCTCTCCTGGAGACCTCAGAAGCCAGAAGAGAAGGTTGCTTCATGACAAGGTAGCTTCATAGACTCCTGGACCATGTGCCAGGCTTGCCAGACATTAGGAGGCACTAAGGTGAGGAGGGCTAAAGTGAGGCAAGGCTGGCATAGCTGCAGCTGCTGACCTGGAGAATTGGGGGTGGGGCACATGATGTCACAGCCCTGAACTGGAGGGAGCAAAGCTAGAAAGATGCCACATAGGACAAGCCTCAGGCTGGGGGCTGACTGGAACAGCCCAGGTGTCATTCTTCTGGGGACTCTTCTGGAGCATAATGTGGCCTGCAGACCCCCTGACACTGGACAGGGCCTGCTAGTCTGTCTTGTGTAAGTCTCAGGGTCCAGGTGCCGACTCAAGTCAGAGTTAAGTGTGAAAGAGGAAGAGTGAGGGGAGCTGGAGAAATGGCTCAGTGGTGAAGAGCACTTGCTTCTCTCCCAGAGGACATGAGGGTGACTCCCAATGACTCCCAACCACCTGTAGCTCCAGCTTCAGGGCCTCTGACCTCCATGGGCATCTGCACACACATGAACATGCTACACACACACACACACACACACACACACACACACACACTTAGAATTTTTTTTTTAAAGAGGAAGAATGAAAACAGGAGGGAAAAGGGCAGGGTAAGGGTTTAGTCCTGGCAGACAGTCTTTGCAGCTGTGGCACCTGGGTGTGGAAGCTGGGTCTGAAACACAGGAATATATGAGAAGGAGTGGTTGAACCTGGGGACAGCATGTCTGACATCAGCTAGTGCCTCTTACAGAAACAGCGAAGTAAGGGTTGCTTTGACCATGAGGTTGGAGTCATCCTTGATGTAGAGCCTATACGGTCTCCTCTCATCTCCTGTGCAAAAGACACACATAGGCAGCCATGTAGACCAGTGCTGACAGCCTGTCCTATAACCAGGGAGACGCAGAAGGGAAGGCTCAGCTCAGTCTAGCACATGGGTACCGGGCTCTCCTGTCACCTGTGCTCATCTCTGATCTTCTGGTATCTGCTTTCTGCTTAGAGCCAGTTCTCTTCCTAGCCACTGTTCCAGGGTGGGGTTGTGCCCATTTGTGCCTTTGTTCATGCTTTTAAAACACACTGGTGAGGATCCAGAGAGACAGCTCAGCAGGTAAAGGCATCTACTGCCAAGCCTGATGATCTGAGTTCAATACTCAAGGTGTGTGTACGTGTGCATGTGAACATGAGCACACAGATATAATAAATAACCACACTAAGGTAATGGGCTGCAGCATAGAAGAACCAAACAGTCCCAGATACGTGCTAGTCTTTATTGTCACACAGTATAATTACTCCAATCAAAACATCACAGCATCAAAGCAGAGAACAGAGGGTTTGCTTGAGGAGTTGGTAGAAGATTCTGCCTAGAGTGACATGGCGCAGGTGCCGGTGGGTATTGTCTCAGGACTGCTCTAGGTCTTCTGAGGAGGTGGCCAAAGGGAGGCCAGGCAGGCTGTCGAGGGCCCCAGCCTCTGAATAAGGAAGAATAACAGTCAGGTAGTTAGTTTGAGAAAGAATCACATGCTAGTACCCATGGAGAGGGGCAAGTTATCACAGGGACCCTGAACTGGGGACAGCATCCATGTATCTAACCTCTGTCTGAAGGACTGCCCACTCTTCAAAGAGGGTAGGCACTACAGTCGTGAAGCTAGTATCTAAAAATACTTTCTGTGTTACAAGATCAAAGGCAACTGGAGGCTGGGCGGTGGTGGCACACACCTTTAATCCCAGTACTTGGGAGGCAGAGGCAGGTGAATCTCTGTGAGTTTGAGGCCAGTCTGGTCCATAAGAGCTAGTTCCGGGACAGACTGAGAAGGTACAGAGAAACCCTGTCTTGAAAAACCAAAAACCAAAACCAAAACAAAACAAAAAACCCAAACAAACAAAAAACCCACTGGAAGCCCCTGGCAGAGCCAAGGTGCCTCTGCAGGAGCAGTCACCCAGAAATCTGCAGAAAGCCCTAGAAGCTCCTTAGAGGCCTGGGGACCTAGAGTTGAAACTAAGGCTATCAGTTCTCTCACTTCCCCTGCCTAGTTGATTGGTTTTACTTTTTAAAAAACTTCATGGTGTGTGTGTGTGTGTGTGTGTGTGTGTGTGTGTGTGTGTGTGTGTTAGCAGATCTTGTGAAACTGGAGTTATGGGTGATTGTAAACCACCTGACATAGGTACTTGGAACTGACTGAACTGGGGTCCTTTGGAAAACAGCAAGTGTTCTCAAGTACTGGGCCATGTCTCCAAGTGTCACCCCTGCCCCGCCACTGCACCCCTATAGGCTTTATTCTTCTGTCCTTCAGTTTCTCTTGGAAGGGCAGTAGCATGGCTGAACGCTGAGTACAGAAACAGCTCCCAGAGCCAACCTGCCAAGCACCTGTGCTAACAGAATATGGCTTCTCAAGGGCTCACAGAACCTGGCCCTGAAAAGCACTATGCCAAAAATAGGGACCCCCAAAGCTCCACTCCCTTCTCAGTAGTGACATCAACCTGTTGACCCAGCACAGGACGTTTGAGTGCAATGTACTTCAGTCCTAACGTAGGATGCTTACCTGTGGCATTCCATGAAACACATTCTTATTTTTTCCTGCCAGAGATGGGTATGCCTGGCAGCCCAAGATACCATTTTAGATGGAAAATACTCCCATACCTTTAAGGTGCAGGAAAGTCAGAAACTCCATTATGGTGTGCACGATGTTGCTCTCAGGCAGGGGCCCATCAATGCTGCCTAGACAGTGGAGAAGAACAGTGTTCACGGTCTTTTTTCTTACCACCCTTGTATCACCCATCTGAGGCCAAGGAGGCTGGCTGAAAGCCTGGGGGCATCCCGGGCCATCCAGGGCCTCTCTTGAGAAGTGGAGGGGCCATGGACCAGCTCTTCCAGAGGCCTCCGTGGTCAACCCCCTTGTTGTAGCTGCATGCCCCATGACTTTGCTCCCCAGTCTTGGCAGTTGAGAGGTGTATGAGGCCGCAGGCTCTCAGGTTCTATCCGGCCAGGACAGCCTCAGGCTGTAACTGGAGGCAGGATAGAGATAGGTGTAACCGCCACACCCCACGTGCATGTGGGAGTCCCAGGAATGACGGGTGCACATGCAGGGACTCAGGCCTTACCTGATCTCCCTTCCTCCACTTCCAGTTGTAGCTCCCGCTTGCCTGTGAGGCCATGCTTGTCACTAAATGATCTGTGGTTGTCAATGGCATCTGTTCACAGACCAAAGAGGGAGAGCCTGCTGTCACTGTGGCTTATCAGCCAGGGGAAGACCACACACGGCTGGACTAGCAGCATAAAGCCAGTGTGTGAGGGCCCCAGAAGAGGGAAGCAATGTCTCCAGGGTCCCTGGGTGAGAGTGGTGATCACAGGGAACTGAGACTCCAATGGGAAGAAGGGGGCTGATGACAAGGAGGGTGGGCACAGAGCAGGTGTCTCCAAACAAACAGGTGCCAGAGACAGGAGCTGGCTCCTAGGACAATACCTCCCAGAAAGATAACAGAATCTGGGTCTCTGCATCCCTGGAAACTAGAGACTGGAGATGTCTAAAACGTGTCCAGATTGTTATTTTCAAAGCCACTCCCATGTAGGAGGACTAGAGCCAGGGAAGGTGGAGCTGAGGAGTGGGTGCAGAGAACTGTGGGTGTGGCGGAGAGCTCCCTAAGAGACAAGGCCACAGTACAGGAAAGAAATGGCAGCTGATGAGTACTGAGAGAGGGCACACGGGCTGGAGGGGGCGGCTTAGGAGACAAAATAGGTGATACAGACGAGACTCGGGGCTTCTGGCCACTTAGCCCACCTGCCAAACTAGACAAAAAGACCAGAGAGTTCTTTTCAACAGAGTCAAAGTTCAGGGCTAATTACCTCGTCTCGGAGCTCCTCCCTGAAGCGTTAGCATCCTAGAAGCTCTGGCCTTCAAAATCTGTCACACCTCAGTGGCATTGAAAGTACCTGACACCTGGCTAGTACACAGTGCGCCTGCTGACCCAGCTGGATGGCTGCATGAACTTGGCAGTGAGAACAAGTTTTCTATTCTGACTCAAAGTCTTCCTGATAACATTTTCAATATTCTAAAGCCATGGGTCAGTGCCAAGCTCATACCTGTGAGGACCCTGGGAACCAGTCTGTAGGCTACTCCACAGACCTGTGCTAAGAGAGCTTCCCAGCGATCAGGTGACTACGTGGATC